GGATATACAGCAAGAAACACAGCAGCCCTGCCCACCCTGCCCTTCCGTTCTACTGTGTATGTGGCAAGTGGGGAGGGGGAACAAGAAACATGCAAACTGTCACGAAGAGTGGAAGCATCTCATCTTGCCACGGCAATGGTTGCTGGGTGACAGTGTAAACTGAGCCCCAGCAGCCGGCATCGACAGCCTGCTCTACAGCCTGACCAAAGGCACTGGGGAGTGAGTGTCTGGGACACTATTACCCTGGGAAACTGTTGATGGGAAAAAGCCACTGAAGATGTGCAGCATGCCTGAGTCAGTAGGAAAGAGGGAGCAGGGAAGGCAGAAGTGGGGATAAAGCCACTGGCCTGAGCATATGAAGCCGCCTGGAAGGGAAGAGCCCGGGGGAGACCTGCTCTCAATCCCTGTCCAGGGCAGAACCAGCAGCCAGAGCCGGAACTTTAGAGCAGCATTTCCCAAAGGAGATTCCATGGAGCACCAGTCCAGAGAGATGGTTTTCCCCCCAGGGAAAAGGGGGTCTGCAGTCAGATTTAGCAATGGTGCCTACTCTGTTCCTGTGCTGGAGAGTCTCAAAGTACATTAGCATAATAAAGGCTCTGAGAAGTCCTGCAGCAAAGAAACCCATTTAACTTTGATTAACCCAGCATATCCCAAACTCACTTGATCATGGAACGCTTTCTAACATCTAATGTCTCATGGAGTTCTAGAGAGCCGTTTAGAGGAGACTCTGCTGTAGAGGAATAAAAGATCAGGTTTGCTTTGATTTGAAAGAGGCACTGCTCAGGCCTAGAGATGAAACCCGAGTTAGAGGCAATAGTGACAGGTGAGAGGTGGGGTTGGTGGAAAAGTGGTGGGTGGTGTAGTTATGACAATGTCCTATGGCTTTGAATGATTTGCTAATTGTGTCTCTAGGAATATAGCTAATTAACGTTGATGTTCAGTTGAGTTTACAGAGTTACGCTCTTGACAGAAAAAGCTTGGTAGAAAAGCTGGTTGAGTGTCTCTGAGTTATAAATATCTTCAGAGGGAGAGAGACGCAAGCTAGGAGGGTCTGCCCAGACACTCCATCCACCTGGCAGCTTACCTGTTTCCAAGTTACCAGCCTGGCAAACCCACAGGTGCAAAGTGAGGACAAATGTCATAGGGAAATGAGCAGCAGCCAGTTTTGCTAGTGGGATGGAAGGTAATTTGTTAAAAGTCTTATATTTGCAATATAAGATCTCTTAGATCTCTTTCATATTAAAGTCTGCTCAAAACATTATCATATTTGCACTCTCAGGTTCTGGTGTTAAACAATCCACTGGGCCCATTTGGCTCTAGAGAAAATTGAGGCCCACATTAGTTAAGTGACTTGCCTGAGGTCACACAGTAATAAAGCTTGGACTAGAATCTGGGTCCCGTGACTCTTTGCCCAGTGATTTTCCCACTGCCCAAAAGGAGAAGGTGCTGTTGGCCCTTTCCGTGTGATCCGAGGTTTGTGTCTTACTCACTCAGTGAATGGTTATTGAGCACCAACAATGAAGAAGCCAGGCTCTGTCCTAGGCATGGAGCTAGAGCAGTAAACAAAACTAAGTCCCTGCCCTCATGGAGCTTGCATTCTAGTGGGCAAGACAGATGATATACAACTAAATACACAGAAATGGACACATAGGGGTCATATGTGCTTTGAAGAGAAATAAATCAGGGTAAGGGACTAGAGAATGATGGGCTGTCTCTCTGGGGAAGAGCCCTTTGAGCAGAGACCTAAATGAAGTGGTGGAGTGCCCCATGCAGACATCCAAGAGATGGAGGAGAGGAAATGGCAGGTGCAAAGGTCCTGAGGCAGCAGCATGTTGACATGTGTAAGGAACAGCCCCAAAGCCAAGGTGGACAGGGGAGAGGGGAGAGGGGCAGGCAGGCGCTGGATCACACATGGCCTTAAGGTGAGGGCTTTGGATTTTTCTCCAGGTGTGAGGGAAGTGATGGGATCTAAATTCTATCTTTGACTCATCACTCAGTACTGTTTCAGAACTGAGTCATGATACCTATTCTGTTCCATCCAGGAGCTGTCCTGGGGTCTGCGATGAGAGAACCGAAGGCCGGCCATGGGTTATCTGCAAAGTGTCTGGAAAGCGATGAACTGCGGTTTAGAGGCAAATGGAGAAGAAGACACCTCCTCCAATTGTCAGGGCTCTTGGGGTATCCTGGAATGTGTCCAGGTGGGCCCTGGCCCGAGAAAAAGATGGAGGGGCTGGGAAAACTTTGCACAGAATCCTTTGCACTCAATCCTCCCTCAGCAGGCGGCTGAGCAGTGTGAGGTGTGAGTGAAAGGGGGCTGCCCAGACCCTCTGGCCTCTGAGGGACTCAGGCGTGGGACCGCCCAAGGGGAAGAGGGCAAACGCCGCCGCCCGCGTTGACCAACCCCGCTCTCTTGTCAGTTCCTCGTTCCTGCCATGCTCCACGTCTGGGCTCTGCTGTTTATTATCTCAAAAATCTCGGCGGTACCTTTTCCCAGCATGTTGTGAGAGAAGGGTTAGAGGAACAGCCTTGCCTAACAGGTAACAACACATGTCATTTATTCACCCCCTGCTACGGGCAGGCATGGCACTCTAGTTCCACCAGCAGCGTCTCTTACATGTCTCACAACAATCTCACACTGTTGGAGTTATGGTTTTGCAGATGAGGGAACTGAGGTTCAGAGAAGGTAAGTAACTTGCCGAAGGCCACACAGCAAGAAAGTGGCAGATCCAGGACTCAAAGCCAGACTATTAAAATACCCCTTTCATGTCTCTGCGTCTGTCTTTCATGGCCCTTTGCTCTTCTCTCTTTTATCCCTTGTTCATCTCTTACATTTGTGTAGCATTTAACAGCTTGCAAAATGTTTGCACACTAACTCTCAGCATCATCCACCTTTGTTTCAGGGTTTCACTGCATTAAATAGCAGTGCTGTTGTCTGTCTCCCCCTCCCCTTTCTTGTGTTATAGCTCCTTCTAGATAGAGAATGTGATGTGCTCACTCTTGACCAATCTCCACTCCCCACCAACATTTTGCAAGAGCAGATTCTTAACAAATGTCTGAAGAATTAGTGTTGGGACTCTGGGGACAGACTGCCTGGGTTTAGATCCTGCTACTGCTGCTTATGGGCTGTGTGACCTTGGACAAGTTACTTAACCTCTCTGTGCCTTGGTTTCCTCACCTGTAATTCTTTTGAGGATTAAATGAGTTAAGTTCCTGACACATTTTAAATGGTACACAAGTATTGGCTAAATAATTTTTAAAAATGCATTCTATATTTGTCTTCCCTTTTCCCTCAGTTATTTTTACATAATGATAACAGCTAACACTTACATAGCATTTACACATGCCCGGCCCCCATTGCAAGCACGTTACAGACCTCAACTCCAGGCCTGACTCTTACCCTTGCACAAGCCCTAAGTGGGGCATCACTTAAGGGGATCACAGGACAACTGGTGGGGAAGAGGCTATGGAATAACATGAGGGCTATCTCCACGGGCCCAGGGATTAGCAGACCCGGGTGGAGGTTGGCCTGGCTTTGCGTTCTGAGCGTCTAAGAAGGTTACAGGTCCTCAGGTACAAAGAAAGGACCATTCAAGTGGCCAGACAGCGAGCAGGACCCACAGGGCCCCACTTCAATATATTTGTTTGCCAGATGACCCATAATATGCTATAAAACCAAGATTCAACAACTGTAAACCTCCGAGAGGACTCAGAGGTTTTGCATTAAACCTAAAATGAGCGTGAACACATGTCCACACTGTTTGCCTGGGCCAGCGCCGTGCATGTAACAGGGCTGCCTCAAGAGGCAGGACGCAGGCTGGCGGGTCTTCTTTCTGTCGCTGTACCCACTCGCTTCGAAGGTAGAGATCATTTCCTGTTGCAGCACACTTCTGAAAGGCGCATCCCCTGGGAGTGGGGGGCAGCAATTGGAAGGTAGCAGGAGGGGCTTCTGGAATGTTCTATTTCTCTTTCTGTTTCTGGGAGCTGCTTTTGGGAGTGTGGTCGGTTTGTGAGCTGTGCATGTACGCTGGGTGTGCTTTCCTGTAGGTACATTATACTTCAATAAAAAGGTTTTAAAAGTGCACATTCTCTATCACTACATTGCTGTTCGTGATGAGGAAACAATGGACACAACCCAAAGGCCCATAAAATAAATTGTGTCACATTTGTATGATGGAAGACCATGAAGCCACTAAAAATAATGAGACAGCAATACAGGAACTGGTATGGAAAGATGTTACGATATAGTGTTAACCAGAAAAAAGAAAGTTATGGAGCAGACAGTATTATCTCAAATCTGAAAAACAAAACAAAACAAACATGGGCTTGATGCATGGTGAATAGTCGATATTTGACCATTTTATATGATTCATCATATATATGACACATATATATGTATACACACACACATACATATACACACAGCATAAAAGTATTTTGTATATATGTGTATATATATAAATTTACAAGAAAAATAACCTGAAAAAATGTACTTTTGAATTGTTAACAATGGGAGTAGAGATGACTTTTAGTTTCTGTGTTATACACTTTTATATGTCTTTATTTTGATCAGCAAAAAAATAATAATAACAATCATGGGCCAGCCCCAGTGGCCTGGTTAAGTTCGGCGTGCTCCACTTTGATGGCCTGGGTTTGGTTCCTGGGCAGAGACCTACACCACTCGTTAGTGGCCATGCTGTGGCAGTGGCTCTCACACAAAAAGAGGAAGATTGGCAACAGATGTTAGCTCAGGGTGAATCTTCCTCAGCAAAAAAAAAAAAAAAAAAAGCTCTATAAAAAAATAATAATAATCACAAAGATGTAACCTTTTTTTAAAATACTAAACTCTCCTTCCTCAGTGTTGCAGAGGGGTTGGTCAGGGCCGTAACCAGGATTGGACTGGCGTGAAGCCTAAGGTAACTTCTGACAGGAAATGCTAAGCTTCCACCTGAAACACCTCAAGCTTGAGCGACGTTCAGCCATAACGCCTGAAGCAAACATACCTGTAAAATTTTGGAGTAACTGATCACAATGAGCAGTCCTGGCACCAGGAAGTTCAAAGTAACAAATGACACATCCCAGGAGATCTCTCCGGCAATGCTGGGCCACACCAGTGTGCAAATTGAAATTTCCTAGTTACAAAAGGAAGAGAACATCATTTAAATTCTGGCTTCTCATCTGGCCTTCAGCTCAGTCCCCGTTAGGGGTGACCTGGCCCTGTTATACAACTGGTATGACGAGAAATCCCAGAACCCCTTCCACAGCCCACACAGCCCCACTTACAAATCATTTGCCTCTGACTCTCAGAATAACCCTAATTATCATTCCCATTCTCCAGGGGAGGCAACTGGGCCTCAGGGTCACAGGCTGGTAAGAGCTAGAGTCAGTTCCCAGGTGTGATTCCAGGGCCAGTGTTCTGTCCACTTCCTGACATTGAGCTGCAAAGAGCCTTTCAGCCTTCTCTTTCAAGTCCTTCATTTTACAGGCAAAAAACCTGACCCCTGAAAGTTTACGTTGACTGGAAGTGACAAGCTCCAAACAAGCATAGAAAAACAGGAACGAGGTTTCAGTGCAGTCACTATGTACACTGACGGCAACAGGGGCTATGTTCAGGTGTTAAGTGTTCATTTGGGGGATGTTTAAACATCTAAAATGTGTCACGTGGCATCGAAGAAGGCCATGGTTTACTCCAAGACAATACCGGCGCCAGACTCAGGAACTCTGTCTTCCTGTGCCTCTCCTCCAGAGCAGCACACTACACAGCCCCAAAGCCGAGGCGCAACCACAATTCTCCATCAGCTCAAGATGGAAAACCACTGGAATGTGGCAGAAGAGCATGAAGGTTTGGGACCCTGCTGCTATCACTGTGTTGTGTTGAATTCAAATGTTTGACACTAACTACAAACCCCAAAACACATGGAGACCTTATTAGATAGTTACTAAGAGCTGCTGCAACAATTTCCTTCCAATGAATAAATCAGTCAGTGAAAAGAGACATACCTACCTATCTAGCTAGCTAGCTCTCTCTCCTCCCAAACACAAATTTCCCATGGCTGCTTGACTATGGGAACAAAACTATTTAGAAAACAAGCTGCCCTAAACGCTTCCAGAGACATGTAGAACAGAATTTTTTTTTTTTGGTGAGGAAGATTAGACCTAAGCTAACATCTGTTGCCAGTCCTCCTCTTTTTTGCTGAGGAAGATTGGCCCTGGGCTAACATCCATGCCCATCTTCCTCTACTTTATATGGGATGCTGCCACAGCATGGCTTGATGAGCGGTGTGTAGGTCTGCTCCCAGGATCTGCACCTGCGAACCCCGGGCCACCAAAGTGGAAGGCACAAATTTAACCACTACACCACCGGGTCAGCCCCATAGAACAGATTTTTAAGAGAGCATTCTGTGTAAAAAGACCACATTATTGATTTTTGGTGGACAAGGCATCTTAACCAATGTCCAGAAGTAGTGTTATCATCCATAGCACCATTCATTCATTCAACCAATATTTATTGAATGCTATACAGGCAAAGGCAAAGAATTTTTATTATTTCCCAGTATGTATCATACTTGAGTGGCTAAACTCAAAATACAGTCAAATAGTCACTTCTTTTCCTATTCAGTATCAGCAGAAAATAGTAACATCTACTAGTCACTGACCATTTATTCTGGGCCAGGAAGCACTTACATATATTATCTCATTGAATGTTCATCACAACCTTGTTGAAATGCATATTATTATTTTTCCCATTAGACAGAGGAGAAAACTAAGGCTTAGAAACATCTTCCTAAAACAATAGTCTACAAAACTAAAGGTGTAGTGCTTTTTAGTCATACAATATTTTCCCCTAAGAGCTAAGTGGTGATAAAGGATATCCAGGGACCTACCAAGAAAACTCTAAGGCAAGTCCAGCAGGGGAGATTGCTTTAATTATATTTGTACCTTGACAAGGGGGGTGAGAATGTTGCTTCCTTTTCCTATTTTGTTTAGATGGCTCACGAATGTACTGGACGTTCCAAAAACTTGTTTCTCCATCCCCATCCCCACTATCTACAACTAACAGGAGAAAGCTAATGAGATCTTTCTACATTTTAGTGATTGGAAAGAAACGTGTGTCTCTCAAGGATCTTCTGAATATTGGCACGTTGACGATGGTGCAGTGACCATGGCTCTTTAGATAATCCATGTAGCCTTCACTTGTACTCAGACCTCTGCCCACCATGGACCCCTCATTCCAGTACACTGGTGGGCAACACAGACAGGCAGATATATTGAAGCAGCAATCAGAAGAAACAGATTCCAGCCCTGAACATGACTTGGTCTCTAATTCCTATACTTGTGATGGGAAAACGTACAGGGAGGGCAGAAAAACAGATGACCCCAGAACCATTTCTTAAACCCCCAAGATGCCCCAACTCTTTCCAAAAGCCTTCTCCAGAATGTCTGCCAAAATCTCTCCAGGATTAACAAGATTTTGCGGAAGACTGTGTAACGATACAGCAAGATGTTCTCCCTACATTAGGGGCAAAAATGTAGATCCCTAAACAATATGCCTATATTAGCCCAGTGTTGTTGAAGAAAATGCATAGGTGTGAATGAACAGATACACACCTATGCATACACCCACACAGCCACACCCACACCCACACACATATGCATAGAGAAAATGAAAGGATACACCCCAGATAATTAACAGTGTCTGTTTCTAGGTGGGACTCAAGTTATTTTCACTCTTTTGGCTTATCTGCATTTTCTAAATTTTCCATAATGTGCCTATATTACTTTTATAAAAGCGAAAAAATGGCAGTTAATTTTTAAAAGAAATGATGAGCAAACATGAAACATAGATTACCATGATAGTTTAGCAAATCTAACCGGCTATTTTTTCAACAAAGACAATGAACCCGTCCCAGGAAGCCTCCCAAATTCCATGACTGATGAAGACACTCTCTCACCTTTTGCCTTGTGGCAATCACTCTAGGCACAGAATGTGATAAGGAAGTAAGATAAGAACTCTGCACAGCACCCCTACACACAAACTAAGAGACAGTGTGGTTGGCCTGTGTGGACTAAATGACTGATTTATATGCTCTTTAGAAAGCTTTATATGGTATCATTGGTTAAATGCAGTGTTTATTCTCATTAAAAAATAAAAAAGCAGGCACCAGGCCCACAGTCAGAGATCTAACGTGGTGTTATGATTTTGTTTCTGTGGGAAAATCCATTTGACTTAAGTCATTTTGATTCAAGGTTTTCTCACCCAGGCTGTGACTTGTAGAGGGGCTTGGCAATGAGTCAAATCTGGAAGGTGGGGGCATGAGTGTTATAATATTCTCTGTACTTTTTCTGCACATTTGAAGTGTTCCCTGATTTTTTTGTATGTGTGTGAGGAAGATCAGCCCTGAGCTAACATCCATGCCAATCCTCCCCTTTTTGCTGAGGAAGACTGGCCCTGAGCTAACATTCGTGCAGATTTTCCTCCACTTTATATGGGACTTCACCACAGCATGGCCCGACAAATGGTGGCTGAGCTACTGTGAGGGCCCAGTGAGGATGGGCAAGGCTGGTCCCTGCCGTCAAGGAGGCTACGGTGCACTCAGAGGGAGAGAAGCACTAGGAAACTTCAATACAGAGCAGCGAGCTGGAAGTGCCCAGAGAGCTACAGGTGACAGAGAGAGTGGAGGAAAGCTGCATCCAGGTGAGGTTGTGTCAGCTGGAAGGATGGGGCTTCACCGAGGGGCATGGAGAGGCCAGAGCTCAGAGTCAGGACCAGAAGGGATTAAGGCGGGAGGCCACGTACAATGGCATTAAGTATGGTTAAGTGTGACTTGTATCCCCATCCCAACCTCCACCTCTCCCTGGCAATCTTATCCATTTCCATGGCTTCTTTTTGCAGATGCTGCTGCAATTTACTCCGTCCAGCCCAGTCTTCTCCTGAAACCCAGACTCACCCCACTGCCCTGAGGACATCTCTGCAGGATGCCTCACAGGCATGGCAAACCTCCAATGTCTCACCCCCAAAAGCTTCCACCTCCTGTGTCACCGACTCGGGGCATGGAGCCGCCATTCCCCAAACTGCCAGAAACCCGAGTACTGGCCTTCTGCCTTCTTCCTCCCTCTCCACTCAGAGGGAACCTCTAAGTTCTGCCTAAATAGCTATCCAACCCATCCATGTATCTCATTCTCACTGACCCGCCCCCTTCCAGACAAGGCCAAGTCTCAAGTCATAAGTCCAAACTCCCTAAAGGAGGGTACCTGGCCCTTCTCCAGTTGGGCCCTGCCAATCCTTCCAGCACCATCTCTTGCCAACACGTGGGCCATTTCCTCTGCCTGTAATGTCCCTCCAGTCCCCCGCGACCTTGCCTGGCTAACTGCCTCTCATCTTCACACTCAGCTGAGATATCACTCATTCTTTCCTAAGAAGACGCCTGTGGCCGGGGACATCTACCTATAGGCACTGCTCAAATGCTGACCCCTCCCTGTACTGGCTGCCATATTTGCAAATGCCTCCTGATTCCAGCTGTTTCCTGTCAGCTTCTCTAATGATTCTTCCTGGAGTACCCCTGGGGACCCCTTTGTAAATCGTTCTCCCTGTCCCACTTCTTCAAACAAAACGGAAGACTTCAAGGTCATCTTAAGGAACTGGGAATCCTAGTTGGATATCTCCTCTCCTATCAGCTTCCCAACAGAAAATACCAATGCAAGAGATGGACTTACTTTCTTATAAGTATCCTCTAATATTAACAAAGGCAAACAAACCGTGTTTGTCTCTTCACCCAATCTACACTCAGTAGAGACACAATGGCATCACTGGCCTGGTATTAAATCAGGGTAGAGTGGAGCAGGGGGACCAGGTGCTCCCAAGGAAGTGTGAACTCATGGGAGATGTCACCAGAAGGAATGGACATACCTGGACTAAATTCTGGTTCCATCCTTTGCCTCCTCTGTGACTTTAGGCATTTCCTCCCTTGAAAAATAAACATAAGAATGCCTATTGTGGGGTTACTGTGGGGACCGAATTGTGCCAGGGTCTGGGACCATCTGCTCAGTAAATGGACCTTCTTGAAGAGAAGGACAATGTCTTGGTCATGTGACTCATGTGGGGGCAGGGGGGAGGGGTGCTTGGTAAATGTTTGCGGAATGAATGGGCAGCACATTCTGGCCAGGGTGGACAGTCCTCTCCACCTGCCAGTGAAGGTAACCGCCTTGGCAGGGCCACTGCACACACGGGCAGGAATTCCCTTGGAACAGGCCGAGCTGACCTGGCTGAGATGTCTAAGTTGTCAGGCTGTGTCCACCCTTTACAATGGTAGTCTATTATTTTACAACAATCAGAAGAGTTACACTGTTTAAAGAATGTTTAAAATGTTTATAATCAAAGATAAGGAAACTAATAAAAGCTGGCAATTCTTGAGTGCTTAACTGTGTATGTGCCAGGTGTTGGCCCATTTACTGAACATTAGTCCCCATGACAATCCTATAAAGTTAATGTTGTTACCTTGCCCATTCCACAAACAAGGAAAGGGAGGTATAGCGAGGTGATACCATCTGCCTCTGTCACAGAGCTCATAAATGGCAGAGATGGGATTTAAACTCAGAAAGTTTGATTCCAAAGCCTACACTCCTAATAACAAATGATCTAGCATTTTCTAGCTTGTCTATCATTTCATCCTCCCATCAGGGAAGTTTTAGAGAGTCTGGTCACCCTGGACTGCTGGGCACACACTGCCCACATGGACAATGGTAATCATTTTCCTGTTTGGCGGGGGAATGGGCTCAGATAAGCAGAAAGCTGTGAGAGACACAGTTGCCCTGGCTAGCGATCCTTGAGGGGAGGGAGCCAGCATGAGCTTGGGGTTAGTTAGTTCTCTGAGCCAGTGGTTTAGGTAGGAAAATGTCCCCCATCCAAAACCTCCATATTTAGTGTCCCAGTGGGAGGGGGCAGGCAGAATCTACAGCCAGGACTCGGGGAGTAAAGGATTGAGAAAACAAGCCTCTGCTAATTTTAAATGTGAGACTCAGTTCAGTCTAGACCGGATCCTCCTCTGTCTCTTTCTTTAAATGGCTGCACTCCCCGCTTTTTTTTTCTTCCTCATTTCTCCCTCTTTTCAACTTACTTCTCCAACCCCCGAGTCTTAGTTTGTTCACCTATAAAATGTTTCCTACATGCTCAGGTTACAGCTCTTGAGGAACCAGGGACTTTTTCTGTTTGTTGGTTTACTGGCAGGTATGTGGAGGGTGGAGTGGGAGGCAGGGGGCCAGGTAGGGGGAAAGACAGGATGATGGACCGCTGGAAAGGGCTGGCTCAGTTTTTCACTACAACGTCCCTCTCTCCAACTCTACTAATTTCAACGAATAGATCCTGTAGCCAAGTCACCTGGCACCCCATCTTCAGAGGTGCTCTGCAGACCCATTCTCTCAGTGGCTTTCCCCAAATCCTTCTCCAAAGGCTCTTAAGACCAAGGAAGTGTTTCTGCATTAAAACAATGTGTGTGTGCCCGGCCCCAACGGGGACTGAGAGAAGGCCACCACAACACAGATTTCCACAGAAGCATCTCGCAGAACAACTCTGGTCATTCCAGAAGCGCTGTAGAGGGCTCCAACCACACACAGAGGCCCTCACGGGGGTAAAATACAGAGGGGTGAGACACGAAGTTCTCCCATGTGTGCAAAGGCCTTCTCACTCAAACTACCACCTGTGTCCATGTCAGCAAGCACTTTTAGTTTGGGCTTTTGGCAGGGAGGTGACAAGAGCCTCATTTTTCAGCATGCTTTGCCAGTTACGTGGGAGTGTCCTTAAAACCATTGTAAAAGGAAGAGGCACAAGATACACGTCTGGAAACATAAGACATCTTTAAGACATATTGTATTTGATCTTCAATTCCCTGAGTGTCATTTTTTCTGTAAGAAAAGAAATGGGGAGAAACCCCTCAAGTTCTGTGAAAAATGCAGAAACATTGTATCTCAATGAGAGAATAACTTAAGAAATCAAAAGACTGATGGTAGAACCCCAGCCCCCAGCCGATCCCATTGGTCTGGGGTGAGGCCTGGTCTTCCACTTATTTTAGAAGCATCTATGTGACCCACCTCGATTTTCAGGTGTATCCAAGCTGAGGAGAGCAGGCCTGCCCACTAAGCTAGGGTCCTTGGTCTGCCTGTGCCAAGAACACCCCGCCAGCTCAGCTCAGCTAATCCTGGCTTTCCTGGCCCCCACTTGAGGGGACATAGCACAGGCTTACACGTTCTTTGATCGAGCGCCACAGGCCTGACACAGTCCCTGCCTTCTAGTCATTCAAGGCCTTAAAACAAAACAAACAAACCAAAACCTCACAATGTATCTCACACAAGCAATAAACTATTAGGAAAGAGACTTTCAAGTTTGACTTGTGTTAAAAAGAAAAAAGATACTGCTTACACAGGATACAGACTTCTCCCCACACCACCCCTCAACAAAAGGCCTGTGTGAGAGACTGGTCTGGGGAAACCCCCAGAGAAGCCCACCTCTGGGTCCAGGCTCAGTGTCTCACCCAGGGTGGCCTCCCCTCCTTGGACTATGTTCACCTCCACAACTAGAAGCCTTCCCCCAGGTGACCTCTCATTCCCCACTGCCTCCCTACCCTCCTACCCTCTTCTGGTCACTGCACAGGCCTCTCTTTGGGACTGTGGTTTGTGCCAGGCTTGCTCAGGTAGCCCCACACCCCGTCCTAGAGGCAGGGTTGAGCTCGCCAGTCCCGGGGCCGGAAAACCAGCGACCTCCATAAGGAAAGGGAGGGGTGGAGAACCGCACCTCTGGCAGCCACTGGAGGCGGGTGGGGGGGCAGAGGAACGAGGACTCGCGCCTTCCCCTAGGGGGCACAGACCTAAGTCTTTTCCCTCCCAGCCCCACCCCCCGCCAGGCGCAGAGGATCTAACACACCGGGATGACAGCCAGAACCGCCGGCCACTGTCCTCCACCCCGGCCTGAGCCTGGGTCCCGTGTCCCGGGGTGAATCTCGGCTCGCAAAACCTGCAGTCGTGCAGTAGGGCAGCAGTGAGAACTACGCCCGCGATTCTGGACCGCGAGACTCGAGAAGACCGCAGCCAGTGTCCGGAACTGTCCGCAGAACCTTTTTTAGATGGTAACCCCCCCACCCCCATCATCCTAATGACAACTGTGGGCGCGCTGCCCGGAATGAAGCTTATCGGTCCAGCCTCTGGGATCTGCGAAACATTCTGGGCTCTCGGGATACTCTGAAGCCACCCATCAGGCAAGCTTCCCAGGGTAAGATCCCGTGGTCTAGTCTAATCCTTCCGTCTCACAGTTGGAAAAAATGAGGCTCCGGGAGGGGAAGTCACAAACCCCCTAGAGGCAGCATCGGGTCTGGGGTCTCTAGGTCTCCAATGCCCTTTCTCCGCGGCCCACCCACACGCACCTGTCTGCCGGTTCTCAAAGACGGACCCTTCCCCAGGTCGCGCTGAGTCTGCTGAGCATGATCTCACCTCCTCCTCGCACTAAGGGTGAGATACCCTGAGAAGGTTATTCCTCTTTATACCTCATTTTCCTCACCTGTAAAGTAGGTGTGAGAGTAAGAGTACTGTAGCACCCAGCAAGAAAGCAGAATCCAAGAAAATGCCAGTAGCCATTCCGGATCCCCGAAGTTCCGTCCGGCTGGCTGTTAAGCCCCCTGTGATTTCACTAACCTCGCAGTTGTCCAAGTATTAGTAGGAATTTGGGGGACTCCTCTTACAACGTTTTGGAGGGCGTTACATCGCAGGGTTGTAGAGAAATTTAAGAGATAAAACTTCACAGCGCCGGGCACAGTGACACAACGATTAAGCGCAACAAACGGCCTATTACTGTTTTGCTGTTATTTGTTAATCATCTTATTACCCAGGTCACCGCTTCCGTCGGATCCGGCCTGCCAGCCCGCCCCGGACACCTGCCCGGCGCGCGCACGGCCCGGCCTCACCTGCTCGGCGCCGGGGAGCCGCTGCGGGATGACGTGGAAGAAGATGCAGAGGGGCAGCGCGGCGAGCGCCGAGTAGACCCAGATGAACGTGAGCAGCCCGGCCCGCGCCCGCCGCCCCGGGCCCCGCACGCCGCGCTGCAGGCGCGCGATGCACACCATGCGCTCCAGGCTGACGGCTGCCAGCGTGAGCATGGTAACGCTGCCGCTCAGGCTCATCATGTAGAAGAGCAGGTGGCAGGCGACCGGGCCCAGCAGCCAGGCCTCGGTCCAGCGCACGGCCAGCACCGGTGGGATGGCGCTGGTGAAGAGCAAGTCCGCGCAGAAAAGGTTGATCACAAGGCAGACAGTGGTGCCACGGCGCCGTCGGCGCACCACCAGCACCAAAGCGCACACATTGGCCAGCAGCGACACGACAAAGATGAGCGCCAGCACGACGGTCTCCAGGGTGCTCAGCACCAGCCGGTGGTCCCCCTTGATGTCAGAGAAGAAGGGGAAGCGGGTGCGGTTGGACCGCTCTAGGCTTCGAGGGGGCCCGGTGCCCGCCGCCTGCGTGCACTCAAGGGACATGCCCGGCGCCCGGCGGCCCGCAGCCGTCTGCGAGCGCGCTCATCTGGGAGGTGACTGTGCGCCAAGGCGGGGAAAGAGGGAGAGAGGCAGTTGCGACATCTCCCCTCTGGCCACCTCCCGCCTGAGGAGCGCTGGGCGTTGCGAGCTGAGCCTGGGGCGCGCGGGAACGAGGAAGTGCCAGCGCCCGGCGGCGCCGGCTGGATACACCCCGGCTGGGCAGGAGGCGGCAGTCTAGGCAGAGGCCTCACGCCCTTGGCAGGTTTCCGAGCGCCCTAGGGGCCGGACACCCACCTAGTGAACCCCACCCCACCCCCAAGCCCCCGCGAGGCCTCCCCAGCCGCCTTCACCCTCCAGTGGCACTCGGTGTGTAAAGCCCTAAATCCACCAATTTAGCTAAAATTGATTTAGAAGTGTCAGAGCGGGACTTTGGAGATCATTTTGGCACGTGCTGGTTCAAGCTTCACCAAAGAAGCCCCATGGGTCTGGGAGTAGATCCCAAAGCACCTCACAGTGGTCCCAGGTCTTTTATATATTTATTTTTTTGTGTGAGGAAGATTAGCCCTGAGCTAACATCCGTGCCTGTCGTCCTCTATATGGGACGCCGCCACAGCATGGCTTAACAAACGGTGCGTTGGTGCACGCCGGGGATCCGAACCTGCGAAGACCCGAGCCACTGAAGCGGAGTGCCAGCACTTAACCACTGTGCCACCGGCCAGCCCCCCACGTCTTTTATTTTTTGAGGGAAGAGGGAATCATTTGTTTTATCATTGCTGTCACATATGACTTTGGGTGGATTATTTCATCTCTCCGTGCCCTACTTTTTTCCATCTATAAAATGGGATTAATAGTATCTCATTGGGTAATTGTGAAGATCATGTAATGAGATTAACACTTGGCACACAGTAATTGCTCGTGAAATGGCATCAATTATTAGTTACTATAATTAAAATGCATGTAAATTTTGCATTCTGAGCAACGATATAAAACACTTTCATGTAAAAAGAGTGGGGCCCCCCAAAATCTTGAATAAACTTGATACCCCAGGTATACAGACACTCCAGGGCTTTCAAGTGCACACACAGGCTGTGAACGTGCCTCAGGCACCCCAGTTTGAGAAGCACTGGACAATCCAATCCCCTTACAGATGAGGAAACTGAGTTACAGCAAGAAGTGACTTGTCCAAGGTAGCCCCTGGTTAGTAATAAAAGCCAAATCTCTTGCCCCTGCCCCACACATTTCCGCTGTCTAGTCTTCTGCCATAGTAAATTAGGCTGTTAGAGAATGAGGGGTGCTTGTGGCCCTAGACCCAGTGACCACTTCCCTGGCCAGCCACCCTCTCACCACCCACGCCCTCACCCTCTCTCCCCTTTGCCATACTACAAAGGGCTGGTAGCCCTCTCCCAGTGACCCATTCCGTCTTGTAATTGTCTTTGTGTATTTATTAAGGATCTGGTGCACCAGCCTGAGGTGTTCTCCAGGGAGGGGGTGCATTTGCCTGTCTGCTTATCATTGTGTCATGTGGGGCTGAGTTGACAATGTGATCTCTGCCTGAAGGGCAGATTGCAGAGACGTCAATGGGAGATGTTCATCTTGAACCTTGACTAAATTCAAGTTGTAAAACAGAGCCAGTTTGCTTCCTGACACAGTTGAAAAAGGGCAAGAGATTGAAATAAAGGGAACTCAGATGGGCTTTGGCAACTGTCTGATCAGGGTCAGGGTGTATTAGTTTTTGAGTGAGGGAAGGGAGAGCTGTGTGTATGTGTGTGACAGAGAGGGAGAGGGCTGGAGAGGGAGAGGAGGAGGGAGAGAGAGGATTCCATTTTCATGGGCTGATGTGCCGTGGGGACAGGAAGAGGTTTCCCCAGAGTGGACGACCAGCGTGGGGTCTCTGGGCTAGAAGGCCTCCTCCATCATTACCCTCCAGAGTTCTCCCCATGGCAAAATGGTGAGTGCAGAGGTTCCCCAACTTTCTCCTTTCACATCACCTTCAGGGTACTCCTAGGCCAAAAGAAGTATCTATCCGCTCCATTTATTAGGCAGCTAGGTCCAAATGACTTAATAAGAATTTATGTCCTAACAATTTAGTAGCCACCTGGGAAAACAATAAACATGAATTGAAAAATAAATTTTTTGTTTCCTTCTTTAGTAACCATAAGGACTTCCTAATGGGATGGGCGCACCTGCTGAGTCCTAAAAAACTGGGAATCTGATTGGGCCTGCCACTCTCATTTCCTTCTCCACCTGGATTTTCGTGTATCTGCTTCTTATCACAGTAACCCCTGAAAACCCAGCTTTGTAAATGGGTTTAATGTTGACACTGTGAATGACCCAGAGCTAGTGGTTTGTGTGGAGTCCGATGGATGTTGACTGGCACTGTGTCTTCCTGGGCACGCAAGCACATGTGGGCACAGTGGTCAAGAACACGGGCTTGGAAACTCGCCTACCAGGATCAGCATCCTGACTGTACAACTCACCATGTGACCTTGGACAAGTTACTTTAGCTTCTAGTGTTACAGTCTTCCCATATGTAAAAAGGGCATAATACTAGTACCGATCTCACAGGGTTTTGGGGGGATTAAATGAAGTTCCTCAGGTAAAGCACTTAGCACGACAGTCATCCACTGGACACTGGGTCAGGCTCTGTGCTCAACACTATATCTGGACTGGAGGACTGACCACACATGCCTGTTTGCTGAGACAGTCTCAGGTTGTGAAGTTATTATTAGAACCCTCTTTCCCTCTCAAATCGCCCTGGTTTGGAGGATAAATGATGTGGTCAGCCTACCTTTATGTTGATTAACTCATTCAGTGCTCCGACAAATCGCAAGCCCTGGGATTTGAACTAAACGGTCTGACTCCGGGGCCCTTGCTGTTAACCACTAGAGTGGTGCTTCTTACCTTGGGGAGATTTTACACACACACACGCGCACACACACACACACACACACAACCACAGAGACATTTGGTAATGTCTGGATACATTATTGGTTGTCACAACTGGGGGGTTGCTACTGGCATCCAGTGGGTAGGGGAGAGGTAGGAAGAGTAGGCCGCCGCTGAGCATCCTGCAATGCACAGGACGGCCCCACAACAAAGAACCCTCCAGCCCAAAATGCCAATAGAGCTGAGGCTGAGACACCCTGTACTAGAGGCTATGCCCTCTTGGGGCCTCACCAGACTTTACCTCTTACTGTTGATTTCCGTTGTGAAGTCTCAGTTAGTGGCAAAAGCCAGAAATATTATTTTCCTGGTAGGGTTTTCACCGCAAACTCTGTAACCCCTTTAACCAACCACGGTGAGGCTCAGCGTCGTGCTCTGGCCCCAGGGTGCGCAGCTGTGGAATCCTCTGGGTCAACGGGGCCGGGTGCAGAGTCATAAGGGTGGACAGACCTCACATGTCCCTCGGAGACAAGATGGCAGGAAACCAGTGGCTGAGCCCTCGTTGTGAGAGTTGTATTTATTGCTCGCAGTCATTAATTACTATTATTATCAAGCTCCTTCGCCTCTTCCACTCTTAGATAAAATGGTAGAAATGGAGACACGGATCCACCAAATGTAAATACGGACAGTCTAGTTTCTGAGCTAAAGGGAAGGCCACCTTGAGGGATGACTTCTGTGCCTGTTTATTTTATATTTTTAACCAAACAGGAGGAGAACTTTTTCTGTGTGTGGTTTTCTTCATTTTCCTCTGGAAAAGTTTTATAAAGTTTGTATGAAAATGTTTACTGGCCCATTGCGTCCTCTCCAAACCTCTCTGTGAGCAGCTATCTATCATCGATCTATTTACCTATCTATCTATATCTACTGGGTTTGAGACATAAGTCCTTGCAGAGATCAGAGTATCTCCTTGCAAAATTCGGATCTATTCTAGAGCAGAATGCAAAGGGTGCTTACCCCTGTGTAAAGATTTAAAGGCTCCCTCCTGCCTCTGTACCTCTGCTCCTTCCATCTTGTCAAGGCGGGTCCCTACCAGACCCCAGACCCAATTCCCTGAGTGTTCTCAGCTGAGGAACCACCTTGGCCAGGTCAGTGGGGTGAAGGGAGGGTCACTCTGTGCTCTGAGATAGGATCCTCATGCTCTTTCTTCAAGGAAGCCCAAGAGTTTCCAAGTAGACAAGGATTGAACAGCATTCTAGCACTTACAAAGTGGGAAGGCGCGGGAGAACAGGCCATACCTGGGAAAGGGAAAGTGCTCTATGCCTTCAGGCCTGTAATCACCCTACTGTCCAAATCATACCCATCAGCCATAAGAAAGAAGTCCAAGTAGAAACTGGAAAATGAAAAAGCTAAACCCAAGTGGGACAAGTGATCACTTGCCACCTGGTTGTAAAGTATTTGCATACTAGGGGCCCAGGGCAAGTATCTTAAAATGAGGCCTGGTGGCCCGGCCACACCTAGCACATGCAATGCTTTATATAAATTAGAAAAAAGTGCCCACTCAGCGGGGAAAATGTAGCCCTCACTCAGGGTGGAGGCAGCCAAGGCTCTGAACTTGGCAAGCAGGGCCTGGCATGTGCGCCTCACGTGGGCGTCCTTTACAGGGAGCACCCTCACGTTGACTTGCTGTGGCTCTGCCTTGTGGTTTGTGGGCTTGTGGCAGCAAGGGCCCTTCTCACGGGCTCTCCCTGCCCACTTGTTGGTGGTTTCTGCTCAAGCCCTCAAAGCCCACCCCCATACCCCATCACTTTGGGGTGCCAATTGGGCAGGAGTGTGTCCCACCAGGCCAGTCATTTGCCTGGGAAATTTCCTCAAGCTTACTGTTGTGGGTGTGTCACCTGAGGAGATGAAGAGAGGAGAGCAAGGGGCGGCCTTGTAGCACCTGTGAGGACTGAGATGTACAAAGAGCAGCTAGCGCCTCATGCTGGTGGCCAGGCCTGACCACTATCGTTGAGTCCTAGTGTGACTAAGCTTTGTTTCCCGAGGCAGATAAAGAGAGTGGGACTGGTCCTAAAGAAGCCCCTGCTTCCCTGAGGGGGTCTTAGGAGCCAACAAGTCAAGAAAGAATCAGCCCTCACCTCTGAGGTAACTTTGGGGAGAAGGAAGAGTGAGGAGCAGGAAGTCTAGCAGGGTGGGTGGGGGAGAATAGTAACAATAATAGTAGTAGCAATAATATGGCAATATAACACTTAGGTGGTAATTACCATATTCCAGGCACTGTTACTTGTATTAACTCATTTAATCTTCATGACAATCCTATGAGGTAGTGTGGTGGTTGTAAAATATGGCTGCATATTTTTTGACACTCCTCCCTTCAAAAGATGGATCCTAATTCTCCTCCCCTTTCATGTGGGCTGGACTTATTTTCATCTAATGAATGGATGTAGCAGGAGTGATGTGATGTGACTTCACCAGCTAGGTCACTAAAAGCATACAACCTCTGTCTGGCTCTCTCTCTGGTACCACTTGCTGTGGGCGGAGGCAACCACCATGTTGTGAGGACATT